TGAAGCAATGGTGGGGAGAGGTATTTCGAGAGAGCCAGAGATAACACAACCAGTGACTCCCAAAGACTGAGTCTAGTATGCAGGGGTTTGAGTGAGTGGGCTGGTGAGGGAAGCAGAGATTGCCAGATGGCCAGTGGGTTGGCAGAGGCCTAGGGTCTGAACAAAGAAATCACAAGGGAGAGAAGCTTTGAGCCCAAAGGGAAAGAGTCAAACCAAACCAAACTCACTGCCTTCGGTCAGATCCAACTCATAGAGACCCCTCCTTGGGTATCTGAGATGGTATCATTACAGAAGTAGATTGTCCAAGGCCATATATTTCAGACACAAGTGTCAGTGCAATGTTCCATTTGGGCTAGATGAGCTAGCTGTATCTTGGTAGCCCCATTCAGAGACTCATATACCACACTCAACTAGCCACAGAAACTTTACAAGGACACAATGGGCCATATCTGACCTGCCACCTTACAGCAGAGCTGAAGGACAGTAAAGATGCTGAGCACATGGATCAGGAGCCCTCTTCTTCCTCATTGCCAAGAAATCAAGTGAGCCCCTCCCCACTCACCCCATTCAGTAGGGGTCATCTCGGATAGGAGCACAGGACTGAAGGAAGAAATCAGAGAGACTGAGTATATATCTGAAGGAGGGTAAGTCATCTAAATGAGACTAAAGTCACCACATTCTGCCCCAATTACCGGTAGGCTGAGTCTGTTGAGAAAGATTGGATGGCAATAGACAATAAGGTGCATTTTCATTACATATAACCATAATGTTAAATGGCAGCACTTCTATACAATAAAGGAAACAACCATGCATTTTTAAATATCTCCTCATTTTTACAAAGGATTGGAGGCAGCTTCAAGTCTATATATTAGAAAATAAAGAGTTAAGGAAAGATCAAAAGACTCAATAAATTTAGTTATTTGGCATGAAGAAGAGAATGCTGAAAATAATACATGTGTTTCAATATATGAAAATCTAGCAAGAGAAGTGTAAATTATATTTTCTCTCTTCATAGAATGTCAAACTTTTCACGGAAGAAATCAGAGAAGCAAGAACTATCATTCATGTCTGCATCTCTAGCACTTCCCAGGCTTCCCAGAGCATAGTGTGTGCTCAGTAAATATTTGTTGAATGAATAAATAAAAAAATAAACTGCTTAGTTTCAGAATGGATAACATTTCTGCTGTTCTTTCAAGCCATTGCTAGCCCTATGGGCCTAATAGTGGTGTTGGGGAGAACCTGGTGTGGGAGGAGGTAAGGACTTTTTTTTTTACCCCATCCCCACTCCAAAAGACCTGCCACAGGAAGGAGGAAAAAGAGAAAGGAGTAAGGGCTTTGCTGTGTGCACTGCCCCTACTTCCCACAGGCCAGGAGGTTGATTCTGAAGTGTACCATTCAGTGGGTATCCCATGAAGAGGTGACTCAAGTAGAGAATAGAGAATCTGGACCTGAGAAGGAAGAGGTTGGTCTGGGAGGAAGTACAAGAGCACTAAGCTACGGCCTCAGGCCTATTACTGTACAACTCCAAGGGAATATTTGGTCAAAAATTAGCCTTGTGTATTATCTCTAAATAAAATGATGCATAAATTCACAAGATACATGGAAAAAAAGACTGAAAAAAAGGGTACTTTAAACTTGTATTCCATTAAAATTACAATAAGTGGTGAATTAATTTTCTTTTATATAAACCCTGCAATGGTTTTGTGAACATCACAATTAGACTGAAATAGATCTTAAAAGGGTTAAGATACCAATTCATTAAATGTAAACACTTGAAGTATATTACAGTTGAGTGTAACCCTCTTTTGGTCTGTCTTCCTTTTTTTTTAAAAAAAAAAAAAAACATCTGCATTGTTTGTATTCTGTTTTGTATTATGAGCTGTGTTCCAATTATATAACCTCTAAACTGAAGAAATTTACATAGCTATAGTGGTTCACGTTCTGAGCACTTCATATGAAGTCCAGGGAACAACCATGTGATCAAAACAAATAAAAAATTCAAAATTACTTACCCAACATATATTCCTGTTAGAGCTCATGGATTTATTGGATACAGGTAAAATTGAAGCCATACCTTCTACCAGAAATTACAAAACTGAAAGTCACCAGGATCCCTACTGGGATGCTCAGGTGTGTTTGTTGTTGTTGTTGTTATGTGCTGTGGAGTTGGACCTGACTCATAGGGGCCCCTCCTTGGGTTTCTGAGGTGGTATCACTAGGGAAGTAGATTGCCCCATCTTCCTTCTGAGGAGTGGCTGGTGGGTTTGAACTACTGGCCTTCTGGTTAGCAGTCAAGTGCTTTAGGCACTATGCCACCAGAGCTCCCCAGGTGTGTATGCTTAGCAATAAAAACCACATAGTGCTACTAAGAGTTCCTGAAATGTGCCATTTTTCTCTGCATTTTACATACTCTTTCCTGGGTCAGGAACACAGTTTCTCATACTCACCTCACCCCAACCCTCAGCAATGTCTTTTGGGCCACCTCCTTTCTCAACCTTGAAGCTATTGGTATCCCCAGTCTAAGTTCAGGGCCTCTTCTCTGAGCTTTCATAGTGCCTGTCATACTATTTACCAATCTCTCTTCCCCACAGGAGTGTAAATCCCTCTCATCTTTGTTGTGTTCTCAGGATTGCATATGGAAGATCCCCAGGCCCTCCCAACAAGGTGCTCGGTGCCCCACATTCCTAGCTATGCCCTTCCCCAGAGTGACAGGAGCACAGTAGGAGGTAGGTACGCTACCAAGTCTACATCAGTTCAGCAGAAACTTCCTAACTGGGGAGAGCCTAAGACAGCAGCCAGTTATACTCCAGAGCTCTGATTTCTATTCTCCAGCATTACAGGTTTAGGGGCAAAGTTAAGCCAGATAGAAAATTGCCATGGGAGTGAGAAAATTCAAAGTGCTGGCACTGTGGAGGGAGATGCTGGGAAGTGAAGTGTTTGCCTCAGGCCAGACATTGTGGAGCAGGGACTTGGCGGAGTTGACACAAGGCCCCACTGATCACAGGGCTGTGCTAAGTCACAAGCTCTGCTTGGCACACAGCCTTTGTTCACAAAAGGCCCAGGGACCGGCCTGGAGTTTGTCTTGTGTGCTCCAGCAGCCATGCTCTATTAAATGCAACCTTTTTCATGCCTGTTCAGGTGACTGGCTATTCACAGTAGAGTCAATCAAATAAATATTATTGAGTAACAACCTACTCTAAGAGTAGGATTAAGTCTAAACTGAGAGAATAAATTAAGACTGCCCAGAAGAAACTCATTAGTACTTTATTTCATGGATTCTACTAGTCAGCCTTTGCAGTTTCCCGAAATGATGACCACTTGCCTTAATGTCCAGGGGAGTTGTTATATAGGGTCCATAAATCTTAGCTGATGTTACTTGCACTGTTAGTGATAACGATCATTGGCTGACAGAATGCACTGGAAGGAGACATGTTAATTTGTCTAATTAATTCACCAGAGTAATTAATTACTTAACACTTATCTAATTAGCTAACACTTTCACCTGTCAGAGCCAGAGGCAAATGCCAGATTGGAATTCGGTGGTCCTCCACATTACACCCTAAAAATAAATCGATAGATACTTCACAGAATATCAAATCAAAGTATGAAGACCCCAGTGGTGCTAAATGGAGACACTGAGGATTAATATTGTCTGTGGTTGCTGGGAAAGAGTAAAAGTTAGACCAACTTGAGATGGCTCTTGAGATAAAAGAATAGGTATTATTATAAACCCCAAATAGGAACTACTGTCTCAAGCGACAAAGATGTTCGAGCTTATTTTGCTTCATGGTTGTTATTACCTTCTCCAAGAAAAGGTTTCTTGTGTATTTGTGGAAATCTTAGGCAGAATTACAATGTCTATTTGGGGGTGGCAGTAACAAGCATTGGCTGCTACATGAATTCCTCAGCCTGGAGCTCTCTATTGTCTTTTCTTTGCAGTCTACAGACTTCACTGTATGGCCAAGATGGACTGATGAAGGCCAGTATTAAACTTGAATAGACTGTGAATATTGACTATCACTCAAAAGTGCAATGTAATAAGCAGCAATAAAAGTGAATTAATGGATTTCTTTTACTTTTTTATTGTGATTTTGGTGAATATCTAACACAGTAATTTCGGCTTCCATTCAACAATTTCTACACATATTGTTCAGTGACGTTGGTTACATGTTTTACAAAGTGTGAACATTCTCATTATTTCTGTTTTGGTTGTTCCATTTGAATTCATGGATTTCTTAACAGAGACACTGTATTTTCTGTATTTTATATTCTACCTGAATTGACTCCCAGCTGATTCAGCAGATTTTACAGATCACCTTAGGGTTTAGCTAGATGAAGAGGTCCTGGGAAACAACTACTGCTAAATTTTCAGAACTTCTGTGTGAACTTGGATGGGTAAAGTTCAGATGAAGAGGTGTTGTGAGGTCCTGGCTTTGGATGTTTTTCTCACTTGTGATTATAAAGAATGAAATCAAGTTGGCTGGGGATAGGATGAAGGTGGGAAATGAAATGTGTGGGAACTGAAAGTTCTCACATGTACTGGACACATTTTTGAGACAACCTCGTTATAGAAATCAACAGAGGGCTTATATCCATGTAGAGCTGTCACAAAGCAAATAGGTTTGTGTGCTACAGCAGATCCATGCTGAGACAAAGGCTAGATGTAAGGAAAAGATACTCTTGTCAGGAGTTAACTTGCTAATCAACTTGGTAAAAGAGATAGGAGGCCACACACCCCCTTTGGGAGCCTATCTTCTGGGGAAGAGCTACTCTAAGAGCTGAACTGTAGGCCATGTCCATGAAGGGGGAGAATATTTTTGAGTTGATAAGAGAGTTTGGCATGATAAGGGAAAAGTTACATTAGTAAAAGGAGAGTATAATTCTAATGATACTGCTATGAGGTGAACTATTATAATGAGGTCTACGTTTTAATAACTAATCATAATATTTCTCTTTCCTTTCATCAATTTAAGAGTGATTACCCACTTTCAGCAGAAGGTATGGCTTCAATCTTACTTGTATCCAGTAAATCCATGAGCTCTGATAGGAATATATATGTTGGGTAAATAATTTTGAATTTTTTATTTGTTTTGATCACATGGTTGTTCCCTGGACTTTATATGAAGAACATGAACCACTATAGCTATGCAAATTTCTTCAGTTTAGAGGTTATGTAGTTGGAACACAGCTCATAATACAAAACAGAATAAAAACAATGCAGTTTTTCTTCCCAGTGACATTTTCATTTCTAGGTTCTAAGGTTTGGGCTCATCTAAGAAGGGAGGCAAAGGAAATCAGAAACACTATACCAACGAATCCACATGAATGAACAAATTCAAAGTTTGGTTTAAAATTCACTATGGAATTCAGCCTTTAATTCCAGAACCATGGGGTATATCTGAGAAATAATTAAAGGTGCTTCGCAACACCTAAGGGATATATAACTGTATTGTAGCACATTGTGAAGTGATTTCATATGATTTATGATGGATTTTACATAGAACTCACTTCTAAAATATTATATATGTCATTCAACTCAGGGGTAGACATAAATCTGCAGAAGCTGCCTACAAATTTAGCTCCAATTCTGCTACAGGTTCTCAGAACATAATAGAGTATTAATCTTTATGAGGCTTAAGGAATTTTTCTAAGTTCCTCTTGATTCACTGAGAGTTGTGTGAAATGTCTTGCTTAGTGACTCCATTATGTTAGCTTTTCAAAACAAAGCCCCACTTACCCATATGAAGTAGAGGTAGCTTCCAGCTGTGTTCATTTTTTTCAGGGAAGCCAAAGTGAGAGAGAAAAAAAAATGAAAAAAATATGAAGATGGAGGTAAAGGTAAAAATGGAAAGAATTTTTCAGGCAGAACTTTTCTTTGATTGCCAATATTTATTTCTGGCCATGTTGTACGACTATAACCAATACAATAGAACATAGTTAATAGACTGCACTAGTTTGAGGATTTCTTCTTGAACATAGGAAAGATGGAGTAGGTCCTACATAATTTAAAAAATACCAAAGACCAGGACATCTTGACCAACTGAATCAGAATTCCTAGGAGTAGGGCCAAGGTATTAGTGCTTTTAAAAGCACCCCAGAGATTCTGGAGGTAGTTAGAATTTAGAACTATTGGGATAGATGAGTGAGACTCTTTTATGGAGTAATGATTCTTAGATTGAGTTGAGATTCCATAGGAATATTTCTGGATCAAGAAAGCATTTTTATTAGAGTGAGACAGAAAATGTAATGGAAGTTGGAAGAGAAAGTGGATGGTAGTGTTTCTCCAACTTCAATGTACACATGAATCATGAAAGGCTTAGTTAAAATGCACATTGCAATTCAGTAGGTTGGGGTGGAGTCTGAGATTTTGCATTTCTAATGAGCTCCCAGATGATGCTGATGCTGGTTAACAAGGAACTGTGGTAACTGCCTGACTGCCTCTTACAAAAGGAGTTCTGGTGGCATAGTGGCTAAGGCATTTAGCTGCTAACCAGAAGGTCAGTGGTTCAAACTCACTACAAGCTGCTCTGCAGGAGGAAGATGAGGCAATCTACTTCTGTAAAGATTTACAACCCTGGAAATCCAATGGGGGTTGCTATGAGTGAAAATTGGCTCAATGGCTTTGTTTTTTTTTTTTTTTTTGGTCTCTTATGAAAGAATAAAGAAGATGTCTTTTTCTTTGAGACTTGTTCTGAAGTAATAAAGTGTATTATTATATTGCTGTTGTTAGTGACATCAGGTCAATTTCAACCCATAGTGACCTCATGCGACAGGCTAGAACTCCCCATAGGGTTTTGTAGGCAATCTTTAAAGGAACAGATTGTTAGGTCTTTCTCCCACAGAGCCTCTGAGTGGATTTGAACTGCCGATTTTTTGGTTAGCATTAGAATGCTTAACCTGTTGTGCCACTAGGGCTCCTTGTATTATTATTATAGAATGCTTTATTTCTGAAACCATGAATGACCCATTAACTAATTAAGAATCTGTTACCCTAAATATTTTTGAGCAGGAAATTAATGACATTTCTGTTGCATTTACTGAACAGTTTTGCATTATTATGGTTTCATGTGTTTGCTAAAATTAGATCTTTTACTTTATCAAAATCCCTTTCCCTAAGCTCTTTAGGTTTCACTTTTTGTTCATGCTTTTTGCTGAGTATTTTTTTTCTTGATGAACTTTAAGCCCTGTTTCTCCAGAACTCTGGACCCATTCATTCTTCCATTGCCCTAATTATATTCGCACCCCATCTTTCACCTCAGGTTCCTATTCACTCCCTGCTCCCACCTCAACATCCTGCTACATTTATTTCTCACTTAAATCTTCTGCTGGGACAAAGACCATTTCCAAGTATGAACCCTCTGTATTGATCAGGGTTGTTGTTATGTGCCGTCGAGTGGGACCCGACTCATAGTGATCCCTCCTTGGTTTCTGAGGCAGTATCACTATGGAGGTAGATTGCCAGGGTAACACTATTTAAAAAATATCAGTGGCTTGGTACAATAAAGATTCATTTTTTGCTCAGTCTTCCAAAGGTTGATAGATTGAACGGGGTGTCCACTCCAAATAGACATTCAGGAACCGAAAGCCTTTTATCTAGTGGCTCCACCATCTCCTGAATTTGACCAACAGACAAGCAAAAAGAGAAAGAAAAAAACCAGCTTGGAATGAGATATTGTTTTTTGGGGACCAGGTTTAGAAGTAGATACATCACTTCCATCCATATTCCACTATTCAGAATTCAGACATATGACCTCACCTTACTGCAAGGGAGACTGGGACAGGTAGTCTAGCAATGTTCCCAGAAGGAAAAGGAAATGAGATTTGGTGAATATATAGCATTCTGTGCCACACCCTACTTTTTCTGGCCTATTTCACTAAAGCTACTACCTTCCAGGTTCTCAATGTGGGGAGTGCAATAATGGCCACTGAACACCAGGTGTGTTACAAACATCATCTCATTCAGGCCTCACATAGGTCCTGCAATGCAGCTATCCTTTTTACTATACTAATTTTACAGATAGGGAAACTGAAGATCAGTTGCTGTTATGTGCCGTGGAGTCGGATCCGACTCATAGCGACCCCTCCTTGGGTTTCTGAGGCAGTATCAATACAGAAGGAGATTGCCATCTTCCTTCCGAGGAGTGGCCAGTGGGTTTGAACCACCAGCCTTCTGGTTAGCAGTCAAGTCAAAAACCTTACTCGAGGTCATAACAACTAGAGGGTGCATGTGTGTGTGTGTGTGTGTGTAATGGAGAGAGTTTATTTAGTAGAGCTGGCACTGGAGCCCAAGCAGTTTCATTCCAGAGCCCAGTAGCTTATGTTATATAGGCTCCCAAAGAAAGATGACTATTAGAGTCAGAGAGAACTGGATAGAAATGACTGTTCTGTAATTTGCTACTTGTATAATCTTAGACAGGTTTCTCAACTTCTATAATCCTCAGCTTTTTCATTTGTATATTGAAATATTAATATTAGTTACCTAGATAGGACAGATAAGGAGTTCTGGTGGAGCAGTGGTTAAAGCATTGGACTGCTAACCAAAAAGTTGGTGGCTTGAACCCATCAGCCAGTCCATGGGAGGAAAATGAGGCAATTTGTTTCCATAAAGATTGACAGGCTTAAAAACCCTATGGAGCAGTTCTACCGTGTCCTATAAGGTTGCTATAGGTCAGAATCCACTTGATGTCAGTGGGTTTGAATAGGATACTTATGTGATTAGATGAGGTTATCTGTTTATTTTATGCAGTTTTCATGCTATTGTGCAATTTTCATGTTTAGTGCCATGCTTGGCATATGGTATGTGCACAGCAGATATTAGCTATTACTGTTATCATTTAATATTAGAGGAAGATTTGTGACTAGTATTTGGGCTAGAGACAATTACAAGTGTAGACTAATTAACTTTCTCTTTTATGTGCTTTCTCTCCAAATTTCTTTACATTCTCTGAATTTTTTTCTAGGAAAAGATTTGTTTATGTTAAAAATCCTTACCTAGATTCCATGGATGAAGACATTCTCTATGACTTCCTTTTAGAAACAAAGACATACAACCTACCAGCGATGTTTGGGGAAGTAAAGGTAAAAGTATTTCAAACTTTAGGAAAAATGACTGATGTTCCTCTGCTGATTATTCTTCTTACTTCTCCAACATAAATTTTATACTTAGGCTAGGGGAATGTCTGAGTTTCCAATAGGAACTGAAGCCATGTTTGTTCTCTGAAATGATTTAGAATGTGCACATCATGAACAATCATTTCTGGCCCAATAAGATAGAAAAGTTCCCAAACCAAATCTAATACACACATGATTTTTTGGCTGCTCTGGTCCCAGAAGATAAATACAATTTTATTGACACTGCTCCCAGCTGTTCAGAGACATTGTGAATTCATTATGTTTTTACAGATTCAGTTTATTATTTAATGTCTAAATTTATAGGTGAAACCTCACTAATTCTCATTTTATTAAAAAATAAAATGGCTGTCAACAATATTATATTATTCTAAACAACAACAACAAAAAAACCCCAAACCCACTGCCCTCAAGTTTGACTCATAGTGATCCCTCCTTGGGTTTCCGAAGTAGATTGCCCAACCTTCCTTCTGAGGAGTGGCTGGTAGGTTTGAACCTCCAGCCTTCTGGTTAGTAGTCAAATGTCTTAGGCACTGTGCCACCAGAGTTCCCTTAGATAGATTAAACAAACACACAACATAACCATTGCCGTGGAGTCTGATCCGACTCATAGCGACCCCTCCTTGGGTTTCCAAGGCAGTTATCACTACTGAAATAAATTGCCCAACCTTCCTTCCAGGGAGTGGCTGGTGGGTTTGAACCACCAGCTTTCTGGTTAGTAGTCAAATGCTTTAGGCACTATGCCACCAGAGCTCCCTTAGATAGATTAGGGTGACATTAATTTCCGCTACAAAGCAAACAGATTGAATTCAGAGAGCTCAAAAGGGATTATAGTTACATCATACAGAGCTGAACCAAGTTCTTCCAAGTTCAGTTTCCCATATTGTAATCTACTGCACTAGGTGAGCGCTCAGAGTCCCAGTAACTCATAATTGGCCCCTAAACTGTGAGGGAAAGGTTAAAGAAAGGGAAGGAGGAGGAAGAAGAGGTCAACTAGAAGGAGAAGAGGAGGGATAAAAGGAAGAAAGAACACAGGGAGGGAAGAAGAGAGGGAGGAAGGAAAAGAGCGAGAGAAGGAGGGAAGGAAACAAAGAAAGGAGGAAGAAAAGAGAAGAAATTTATTTCATTAACAGGCGGCGTTAAACTGCCTCTACCCCTTGCCTCTCTCCTAGGGAACAAAGTCTGAGGGTGAAGCTGATTTCCTGGCAGCAACATGACCCACCCCTTTCCCCAGTCTTTTTCAGACAGCTGTTTCTTGCCTTTTTGTGGCCTCTTTTGATCTTTTGCTTCATCTTCTCAATGTAACCTCTCTCTCTTTACTGCTGTTTCTGAAGTTTATGCTCTGTGAGTCATTGATCAAGACTGTCTTTGATACTCATTAACCAGATTTCACTTGAATTCAACTTTTAGGATTGGGGTTCATGCTGCACGATGATTTTCCTAGGATCCTTATCTAGCATGACTCTGATTCATTGAAAACATATCATAATTAATAAGCAAAGGCACATATCTAATCAATGAATTAAAAAGACTTGGAGTATGTCTTTGTGACAAAAAAAGATTGTCTATAATCTAAGTATTTATATTTCTGTCTATCTCTTCTACAATTTATGGAGTGTTTTCTGTGTTTCAAGGAGCTCTGGTGGCATGGGGCCTCAGGCATTTGGCTGCTAACCAGAAGGTAGGTGCCACAAAAGGAAGATGAAGGAATCTACTTCCATAAAGATTTACCCCCTTGGAAACTCAATGGGGTTCACTATGAGTCAGAATCAAGTCAATGGCAGTGAGTTTGTGTATCAGGCTCTGTACTAGGCACACATTTGTGGAATATCATTCAATCACCATAGCAATTTAGGCAGTTAATTGTGATCTCCAGTTTCTTCTCCCAGTGAAGAAACTGAGGATCAAACATAGATGTAGTGTTACAACACATATATACCATATATTTATCTATCTGTAATAGCCACAACACAGCTGGTAAAGGAAAGAGCTGGGATTAAATCTTAGATGTCGTTGGTATGAAAGTAATGGCTATATCTCTATTTTGTTTTATTTTTTTTAAACCACTTTATTTAGGGCTTTTGAATGTTTATTTCTGGGAAATCATTGGAATGATTGGCTTTATTTTTGGAACTGAAAATAGATTCACACATCTGTTTCTCACATACACACCCACACAGACACACACAGGCACATGCACACAGACACAGTTGTGTCATCTCTGTTGCAACTAGGCCCTCACCTCTCTACCTGGTTAGGTTTTCCTGTCATAATCTGTCATAACCACAGTCCAACCTTGTAAACTCACCACCCACCTAGTTTTGGACTCCTTTGCTGGATTCTTTTTTGTACAAAAGACATACTCTGATTTAGACCTTATTTTATCCAACTAGAGAGTAACTCTTCTGAATGGGGCAGATAACCAGCAAAGTGTGGGGGGCAGGAGGGAAGGTAGGATGAGAAGCAGGTAATGCACTTCCAAGTGATTAGAATTTGCCATTTAATCTAAACCAGGATTCTTTAGAGAAAGCAGATAAAGCTTGACTTATATTTACAGATGATTTTCTCAGAAACTAACCTTTCCAAACTCCATTCTTGTCTTTGAGTGAGAACATGCTAGTTTCAATTTCTTGACTCTCTTAAATCCCTTAGCAATTCTGGCTAAGAACAGAGGACATAATCCATCAGCACCTGAGCACTCAGTCTTATCTTCACAGAGATGATAGCCTATTTTTACACAAATAATGTCATGTCTTCTACTGTAGCATTTTTTTTTTTACATGTTGCTATAAAAAGTTAGCAGAGCGCACTTACGAAAATACTTCATGAGAGAGAAGGTGTGATTGACAAACAAATGTAGACAGTACATATTATTTGTGTAAAAATATGATAATCATTATTAATAGCATTATCTTCAAAAGGAAAAAACTCTGAGTGTCTAAAGTTTGGACCTTGAAGAGTCTGACAATCACTCCTGTTTTCTCTTACTATATATTTTAAAGTTTTTGATAGCTGCTACTCCAAAATGTCTTAACACAGTGTAAATTTATTTCTCACTCACATTAATTAGAAAGTAAGTGATCCTGATCAATGTGGCCCTCTTTCAAGTGGTGATTCAGAGACCCACACTCCTTCCATCTTCTTGTTCTGCCACCCTCAGTGAGTGGCTTGCAAAGTTTCCTTGGATGTCAACACCCATCTAGTATGTAGGAGAAGAGCATATGTAGGGTCACCAATGGGAAATTTCTATGGGTTAGGACTAGAAATGGCACCTGTCACTTCTATTCACATCCTACTGGCTGGAACTCAAGCAAATGGCCTCATCTAACTGGAAAAGAGGCTGGAAATAAAATCTAGTTGTGTGCCAAGAAGAAGAGGAAACCATTTTGGTAAACAGCTATCAGTCTCTGCCATATTCACTGGAATGAATCAAGCAATTGGAAAATATGGTGGATAATCCCTAGAAGTGATCTATTCAAACTCAGTGCCCAATACATACATCTCTTTTACAAGATCTCTACTAGATGTAGTTTTATAATGCATATACAAAATATTTTTGATCTATTTATCTGTAATGGCCATTACATAGCTGGTAAAGGAAAGAGCTGGGATTAAACCTTAGGTGTCTCTGATAAAAAAGTAATCACTAGTTCTTTCTTTTACTAAAGAAAAAAGTATATTTTGGTATTTTTTACATGATCACTAATTGGAAATTTCCAATCTTCCTCTAGAAATGTCAAGTAGTATGGGAAATCATTACTTTATGAGGATTATGTAATTATATATACTCCTCATAAAGTAATGATTTCCCATATAAAAATGCAATATGCATATAAAAATGCATATTTTTTTGTCCATGTACAAAATATAGTGAATTGCAGTAGAACCATATTAATACAAAGTGACACAGTTAACCCTATGAAAACTCTAGAGAATAAGTTTGCTTTAGCAGTCATTGGGCTAAGTCCTTAACATTTCTTGTAATGCCTCTGACTCCTTCCTGATGCATTTCTGTCTTCTTTGATAAAAGTAGGACAAATGATCAGTTTGTTTGGGATGTAGATCACAATAAGTGACACTTATTGTCAATGTTGGTTGGTAGTCTTCGGTTATGTTTTATTTCTCATTAAGGTGGCCAGACTGCAAATTATGTCCGAGGTGATGTTTAGTAAGTCTGAATTAGGAATAAGTCTTCAAGAACTAGCTGCTCTCTCTATACATATCGTCTTTATGTCTCCAGAAGCATTCAGAAATTGCTTTTGATTACAGCAATATCTATAGTTCAAAAAAGAATTCAAACCACAAGCTATTCTGTTTTGGTTTTATGGTCAGTCTAAATAGTTGTAATTTACATTCACTGGCACCACATAATGAGGCTATTTTCAAACTATTATACATTGAAAGAAAAAAAAAGCTTCCTTATACTTAGATCTTGCACCAAATCTTAACTATCTATACCAATGAAGGAAACATTTATGAAAAATCAATAATAATTAAAAAAAAAAAAAAATTAACATGGGCAGACCCTCTTTGCTCTCCAACCTTCATGGTTAACCTCCATTGCAGTTTCTTACCAATCTTAAGCCTCATAAGAAAAACTCATAAAAGGCACAGGAAAGTCAATAATGAGGGTCAAAGAGAACCAGAGGGTCTAGATAAAAGGATAATTACATCCTATAATTGAAAATGAATGTGGTACAGGAATTATTGTTCAATGGAAACAGAATGCATCATGTAATCAGATCACCCAATCCTTACATTATTTATTCATTTGTAAATGGGAGATCCTACTCTACAATCTTACTTAGATATTTCCATATGTGTGTGTGTGTGTGTATATGTAGTGCTTGTGAGAGACTGCACCAGGCCAAGTGCTCCTTCTGATCCTCTGTCCAACACTGCCCACATCAGTCAGGCACTACCAACTGCCTTTGCCTTATTCTAGGACCTGAATCAGCTTCATTTGAACTAAATTTTGACTATAGCATCAGTAAACAAGCTCAAAATCAGGGCCAGGAAATTTCTCCATTATATACAGTTACCATTTGTTGAACACTTAGACTATGCCTGACTTTGTACAATGTCCTTTGCCATATGCAATCCCATTTCATCCTTACAAAACCCTATGAGGGGTACTGTATTATAGATGATGACTTGAGGCACATAGGTATTTGATGTGTGACATTGAGGAATTTATTTAATCAGGGCTGGGGCTGGGATTCAAAGTCAGGTTTAACTAACCTCAATGGGTAGGCCCTTAACTGCAACATCACCTGCCTCTGTTTTGAAGGTCCTTCAGACTTCGTGCACCGCATCACTTGCCTGAGTCTTCTGTGACTTTTTAGCTAACACCCTTCTGTGAGCTGTGCTGTCCTCCTGGATCTGTCTGCCGTCACTCATTCTCTCCTGGTACTCCTGGTACTCACTGGCTGGCAAGTCATTCACGTCACCATGGGGCCACTCTGCTCCTCCCTCAGCATTCACCTTTTCTATCTCTGAGGCTGATGTACCCCTAATAGGCTGTTGCCCAACCAATGACCAGACATTTTTACTATCACATTTCATTAAATTTAAGTCACCCTTGGCTGTAATACCTATCCAATTCCTAAGTTGCTAAAATGTGAAAAAACTAAAATTTTTACAATTGATGACGTACAATAGTGGGATTTCCAATCTATAATGATAAGCCATGAGGCTTCCTTTTGAATGAAAAGTTAGGTTTTGGCAGAATTCCATTTAAACTTTAAGTTAATATATCACCAAAAACCAAACTCACTGCCACTGAGTCGATTCCAACTCAGAGCTATCCCCATTGTGTTTCCAAGGCTATAAATCTTTAAGGAAGTAGACTGCCTCTTCTTTCCTCCATGGAGCAGCTGGTGGATTTGGACCAAATGCCAAATGCCTTAACCACTACACCACCAGAGCTCCTTTAATATAGGACATTTTACAATAAAAAGTTACCGTTTAAGATGCAGAATCAGAAAATGTCTGAAACAGGTAGTTCTCCTTTTGGTTGCATGACACTTATATTTCATGTCTTTAGCACTTACATATTAAGTATATATCCTGCCAATGCTCAGCAATAGGCTGTCTGTATCAAGTTAAGATGTTGGATGATCTTCACTGTAAACAATAACACCAGGAAACACCTACTTAATATAAAAATTTACTTTCTTTTGTGGTTATTTTTTTCTGACTAATGTAGTATATCAAACTTTGCATCTGCTTGCCTTATTTATAGGTTAATGGTGCAAATTAGCTAATTCATGAAAAAAATACATAACATATACACATAGTGCTATGGAATTCACTAAACAATAAAATAAAAACTTTCTGGTTGAGAGCTGACCCTTGGTTCTTGTCCCAATTACTACGACAGGCCATTGTTTGTTTTTATTAACAGTTTGTCTGCGTTGGCGGGAACCCTAACAGAATGAAAGCATTTGTACTGTTTATGCAGAAGGAGCTTGGATATGAAGAAAGTGGAGAAGAAATAAAAGACATCTGTTCTGGGACGGACAGATAGTATATGTACAAAATCACTCCTGTGTAAGTACTTAACGGTTGCATTTCAGTAAGTCATCAGCAGTCTAGAGAAAAAGGTACATATTTCCTCAGGTATGAGTTTTTTTTCCCCTTTTGCTTTACATTCTTACATAATCAAGCTAAATGTCCAGGTATAACATTCAGTTTTGGAAAAAATCCTAGGGGGCAGAACATAGCATTCAGCTTCACTTTAGTTTATTAGTTACCTCTTTGCTATTCAAGTTATGAAAACCCCCTTAAAGTATACCCCCTCTCTGTTTCATTTGTAACTGATTAACTCACCAGCAGTCTTCTCTCCCCTACCCCTTATCCAATTTGAGGACTATAGAGCTTTTAGTATACAGGGGCCAATTTTCAGCACTGCCAAAATGGTGCAGTTTAACATTATAATAAGCTCACTGAAAAACTGCTAATACATTTGTACCAAGCCCTTTTGAATGGCTCTCCTGTATTTAGAATCTGTTAACAGCTCTGGACACACATAGTGCCCTAAGACAAAAAGAAAGTGGAATTATTTGCAATTTCAGGGAACATGCAGATAATTTTCTAAGTGGATTCAGGGTGGATACACTTAGGAGGGAGTTTGTACCTGTCCACCCAGTTTGCTTTCTAATCTTGTCTCTCAACACAGGGCTGTATTTCTAAGCAACTGTTCTAAGCTCCTCACATGTCTGGACATTGCAGCTCTCAAAAGGTGCAGGAATTCCCTGGCTAGAAATGTCAGGAGGGGACTGGGTAGAAGTCTGTTGCAGAGGTGTGGCCATTCTAAGGAGCTGAGTTGTAAGTGGCTCCTATATGGCAGGGAATGATCACCATCTCTTGATTACTCTATAGTACCTGGTGATGGAGGGATGAAGATCATGGCTGAAAGGTTGGAATTAAGAAGGAAAAATTATATCATGCCATTGAAGCAGCTAAACTCATCTCTCCTCTATGCCAAGAATGCCTGGAGCCTACTTTTGTCGCAAATGGGAGAATCTTTTCTTAATTCATTTGTCAATTCAACTAACTATTATAGGGAAGCTGATAATCTCTGGTCATCGAGTGTCTTTTCTCACTAACTTTAGCTTGACCTTTTTTTTTTTACATGTCAATGTCATGTGTGTCAGAGTAGAACTGTGCTCCATGGGGTTTTGTTTACTTAAGTAATTACTGTGATCTGGGTGAAATTTTACAGAGCAAATTTGTTCTTCACTCAACAATTCATACAATTCATTGCAACCTCCACAATGTGAGAGCACTCTTCCTACTTCCTTCCTGTGTTTACCATTTCCTTTTGTCCTTCTTTTCTTTCCCTTCTTGCCTTCTTAGCTTTATCCCTGAGCAAATCCCTTCTGATCTTGTATGGTTGAATGTTCTAATGAGTGCATACCTTCCTGGTATTATTGTTTACCTTGTAAGCCTGTCTCTTTCAGCTGAAAGTTGAGCCATGAGGGTGAGTTCAGTTCAAGGCTTGAAGGATATCATCTAAGAGTAATAGTCTCAGGGGTTCCAACAGTCTTCATCAGACCAGTAGGCCTGGTCTTTTTTATGATTTTGAATTTTGTTTTACATTTTTCTCCCATTCTATCCAGGACTTTCTATTGTGATCCCTTTCAGAGTGGTCAGCAGTGGTAGCTGGGTACGATCTAGTTCTTGTGTCAGGGTCATGGAGGTGGGGTTTGTGTGGTCCCTCAGTCCTTTGGATTAATTGTTTCTTTGCATCTTTGATTTTCTTAACTCTTCTTTGCTCTGCGTTGGAAGATATCAATAGATGCATCTTAGGTGGCTGCTCACAGCTTTTAAGACCCCAGTCTCTATTCACCAAAGCAGAATGTAGAACATTGTCTTTGGGGACTATGTTATGCCAAATGACTTTAGTGTCTCCCGACACTATGGTCCTGAGCTTCCATTTTTTGCTTGACTTTTATACGGCAATTATTTGCTCTTTTGTGCACAGTCTAAATGAGTAAGGATAAAAAATAAGGTTTATAAAAATGTGAAGTTACCATAAACAAGCAGCAAAACTTCAGAGTAAAACATAAAAAACAGCACAGGCTGATCTTGGTGTATTGTCAGAAAAAAGAGCTGAAAGATGTATCATTCCCAGAGGTCAGCCAGGAAAAAAAACTGCTTAAATAACATCAAAACTTACTTCAATTTTTTTTTATTATCTTTCTCTTTATTGACTAATTTAGTATATCAACTTTGCATCTGGCTTCCTTATTTATAGGTTAATGATTAAAATTAGCTAATTGGAAAGTGGTATTACTAGACAGGGAGAGGCTTTCCAATTGGGGCTCCTTCTATGAAAATTCTTCATCTCTCATAGTTGCTGAGTTGTGTGTGTGTGTGTGTGTGATTGTGTGTGTTTGAGAGAGAGAGGGACAGACAGATAGAGACAGAGACAGAGAGAAAGTAAGAGGGGACTGACTTTTGCAGAAATAGAAATACACATGCCCATTTGTCATTTTATCATCATGCTGTGTAATGAGTAATAATCATAAACTTAACAAATGTCTGACTAAGAAGGAACCTAATATATCAAATAATAGTTTATCTTCTTAACTAACTGTAGATGAGGAAAATGAGACTCAGAGAGTTTACTTACTAGTGGTAGAGCCACAGAGTAAAGCCCCAGACATGTTAATCTTGGACATACAAAGATATAAATTTGATTCCTGATGTCAGGAGGATTACAAATGCATTAGGAAGGCAAAATATATTGAATGAAAACCAAAATTGGGAACCCAGAGATTTCAGGTTTCCATAGTTTAATATTTTTGATGGTGAGAAGATGGAAACTCAACTGAAAGCAGCATGGCCACAGCTCCATCCATTTTCCAGATTTGCTGATGGGAGAATTAGTGTCAGGCATCAACTAACTACCAAGATAACCTTGGTAATTTTTCGCACACAAAGTCTCTACAAGAAAGAGTAGAATACATTGAAGGCTGCATTAAAGGAACACACTTGACTCTCCATTCCTTTGTTTTGTAGTAACTGATTGTAACTGATCTCTGGCTACTACAATTTCCCAGCATGGAGGATTTTTCTAGAGAGTTGTTAGAACATAGTGCAACCATTAAGAGTCACTAAACCCTCTAGTCTGTGTTCACTCCTGTTGTGATGACACTGATTCTATTGTAAATACTGAGGGAAACCAGGTTTGTGGTAATGATCTACAGCAACCTAATTTCACCTACACATTCAGAATAAGCACCAAAATGTTGGGTGTGGTTGTAACTCATATCTCTATTCTAGAACCTTCCAGGGCTCACACAGAATTAGTAGCAAGTGTACAAGGTCAAATGAGAGCAATGAAAAGGACTTACTATTTCATTTAATATTGTCATGGTTATATAGTCATGGTACAATAATCAAACACAGATTTCCTCAAAATCAAGTCAATCTTGTGAACAGCTCTTTTTCCAAAGCATCATCTTAAAGAGCCCAATGAAGAGAAGAGAATGGCATTGCCCTTATGTACCTGAACACTATGTCATCCTCATTTTCTGCTCTTGATGATGAGGGCTGAACTCAACTTAACTGGCAGGGAGATGCTTCTCTTTAAGCCTCACAGATGGACACATCTATCAGCATGTCATGTAGGCGTCAGTTAGAGATGACTTACGTTTTCCTCAGCATTGGCAAACTCTTAATGATTATGTAAATTTATCTAAAGTCTGTTAACTTGTAATGAAGGAAGAAAATATGTCCTGTGCATATATGTGTTTGTGAGATGTATAATGACTTTCCCTTTTCTCTCCACAGCATGGCATGGGCATCCCTTCCATTTCTATTATGCTTCATGAACTCATCAAATTACTTTACCATGCTCAGTACTATGATGTTACCATTATATGAATGGGTACATGAGGGGAAATAGGTGAGATGGACTGATTTCCACCATTAAAATTGATTGATTTTAGTACACATTGTTGTTGTTATGTGCCGTTGAGTCAAACCCGACTCATAGCGACCCCTCCTTGGGTTTCCGAGGCAGTATCACTACGGAAGTAG